ATTATTCAGATATATTATTATGAAGACATTCAGATATATATAAAGTATTTTATTAATAAAAGACTGAAATACTGTAGAGATATTAGTCAAATTAAAAGATATTACTAGATATTTAAATAATCTCAGTATAGTTTTAAAGACAGTATTTTATTCATTCTCAGACTGTATTTACAGTTATATATATATATTAATTATATTCAGTTGTGTGAATATAACAGCTTTTATAAGACAGTTAATTACATTCTCAATCAGAGATAGAAGATAGTAACTCTTTATAGTCTTAAAGTTCAGATTATAGTAGTTTATATATAATCTGAGATCTTTATTCTTCTTCTTTACAAATATTACAGAGACTTCTATAAAGAGTTATAAAGATTAAATAAAGTCATTCTTCAGATTCTTCTTTACATAAGTCTGTAAGATCTCTATCTTATAATAAGAGAGCTTATAGATTGATTTTCAGAAGAATTTCTACTCTTCTATTAAATTTATTATCAGATTCTTCTTACAGTGAGATGAAAGCTCAGCTATTTTTACTAAGCTGAATATCTCTGTAAGATCTTAGTATTTCTCTGATATCTGAAGCTCAGTTTTCATGACTGTGAAGTTCTCAGACATTTATAAAGTTATTATATAGATAAGCTTATCTTCTCTAATTAACTCTATAGTATTAACTGATTCTATCTTTATAAGTGAGTCTGTTAACACTGATTGAAAGTATAACTCTGACTCATGAATAGTTATATATAAATTATGTCTTTAAAGTCATATAAGTCTCAAGTACATGTTATCTGTGATATCTGTAATAATTATAGTTTTTATAAATCTTCTTCAGATTCTGAAGAGATCTTGTAATTCAAAGATAATTCTTATAAGTCTCTCAGTTCTTAGATCTGAGTTCTTACATTCTGCTTATTATAAGAGCAGATTTCTAGTTTTCATTATTCAGCTCATTTACTCTGTGAGCTTTAGAGACACTATAGTGACCTAAGATTCTGAGTTTATTAATACTTCTTATACTGATGAGACAGCAGTACTGCAGTACAGTCTCTTCTCATAAGCATGTATTTTTATTAAGAAAGTAACAGATTCAGATATTATCTTTAAAACTCTTAAGAAAACTGTTACTAACTCTGTCTATGACTTCTTAAATTTCTATTTTAATTTATCTGAACAGTTTATATAAAGATGTTCTAATTTAGAATAGATAAAGCAGAGACTCTTTTTCTTAATCTCTCTATTATATACTTTATTCATAGAAGCTTATAAAGCTCTCTCTCTTTACTCAGTAATCAGATATAAATCTCTCTATATCTTATTATCTATTTTCAGTAAATCTGTTCTCTGTTATTCTGATTCTTACAGAGTTAATTGATAATCTACTCTCTATAGATCTGTGACTCTTATAGTGATTTATAAGCAGTGAATAAGAGTTATCAGTTTCTTCAGAGTTAAGAACTTAGAGTCTTACTTAATAAGCTTATTCTATCTATCTTTATTCAGTCTCTTTATAAACATTATTATTCAGATCTTATTTCAGAACTCTGTTTTCACAGATCTCAATTTATATCATAATTTTATAAAGTATTATAAGTACTCTTCATCAGATTTCTTATCTCTTTTTCTAATATTAATAATTATAGTTCAGATGTTCTCTGTTCAGCTTATAAAGTCTCTTAACTTATTCTTTAGATAGATCTTAAGAATAGATTAGCAGAATCTTTTATAATTATTCTCTAGATAATTCAGTCAGTTCTTGACTTTAGTGTAGTAGAGATCTGTTATTGTATAGATAATAGCTTCTTTATCTTTTATATCACACAGCTGAGCTTGTAAGTTAATTTTAAATACAAACTTATAAAAGCTTTTATAGATTATAATTCAGTAAGTGATCTTAAGTAATTACAGCTTAAGAAAGTTTCTTTTCAGTTTATAGATATCTCTGAAGATTATATCTAGAGACTCAGTTCAAGAATGTTTACAGATAGTAAGTATTTCTTATAGAAAAATAGCTTAATTCTGTGAGAGATGCTCAAGAATATTCTTCACTAAGATTGATTTATTTATAAGTTCAGAGAGTTTCTCTATCACAGATATAGAGAATAATATTCTGTAAGTAATTAATAAGTTCTCTAAGACTTCTTTTATAAGAGTTATTCATGATTCAGATGACTACTTCTGAGTATCTATAGTAGAGTTTACAGAGATTGAAGCTTATAAGTTTCTAGTTCTTTCAGTCATAACAGACAGTTACTGACTGACTGAGCTTGAAATGTAAGAATAAGTACTCACAGATAATTATTCAGGTATTTGCAGCTTGACATGATATATACTGTTAATTACTAAAAGTATTCACAGTAGAAAGATAAAATGTAGAAATTAAATATATAATAGTATTCAAGCTGAGTTGTGAATTGTATTCATGAACTTCAGTCTATATAGTTGTGTGTAGCCAAGGGCCGCTAACCCTATTGATTATGCGAGAGATAGGAATAGAGGTAAAGAATCCGCGAGGAGCGGGATTTCTTACAAGGACAGACGTGATGGTCAGTTAATTATAGAGAATTAAATGCAATTAACTTATAATGCATCCTGCAGATGGCTAGCGCCTGTAGTTAATTTTCTTCATTAAATGTTGAGAAAATTAATCATGAGAAGATATGTCAGAATGAGTGTCACGGATGAATATATTGAAGATATATAAATCTTATATATATCAAGATCTGCTTGTTATATTATCTGTATACTATCTAATATATCTGTTTCATACAAAAGATAGAGCTATTTATAGTATAATATATATGCGAGCCAAGAGAGCTAGTATAAGTGAGTATTAGATGAGTATTGTAGTAAGCTGGTGATAATGAGAAATATTGTAGTAATACAATATTGATGACATTCAGTAGTGTATAACCTCTTTTTTCTGACACACTCTTTTCAGTGAATGTAACCTGTAAAAGAAAGTGTAATTGAAGCTGCATGAAAATAATCAAAAAGAGTGTAGATGAATCTTTAGAGATTACACTAAAATAGATCATTTATATCATTATTCTGCTTGCGCCTTGATGATATTTAATATATCAAGTAGGCCTAGTATCTTGATAAATTCTGTATGTTTCTGATGTGACAGAGCCTTAGTGAGGCCATCCGCTGGCATCTGAGCTGTAGACACTCAATCAACTGTAATATCACTGAATTGAACACATTCTCAGAGCCAGCTTCCATATATATCAATGTGATAAAGCTTTGTGATTATAGAGAGGTCTTTCTTTGTAAGAATGTTAACAGTTTGATAATTATCACATTGAATACAGATCTTGTGACCAGGTTTAAATTGAATATATTGAAAGAATCTATTTCATCAGATAGACTTCTTGTCAGCTTGTGAGATAGTAACAAGCTCAGCTTCAGTGATAGATGTAGTTATAATTATCTGTCTATTTGATTTTCAATCAACAGTCTCACTGAATAGTTTGAAGATATATTCTTGAGTAGAGCAGTAATTTAGATTATCTGTGAAAGAGATATTACTGATGACTTCAATGATATCAGGTTTGAGATCAAGTTGTAGAGATCTGTCAATGTTATCATTATATTGAATAGCAAGATTCTTCATATTATGTAGATAAGATATCATTCTATTCATCTCTGATAAGTGATATTCTGATGAATTTGTCATGAATGTAGCTAGTTTATTCACTGTATATATGATATCAGAGCAAGTCATCATTACTGAGTAGATGCAGAAGCTGATATATTATTGATAATGATGAATTTTTGTGAATATGACTGACTTATTAAAAGGCTCTAACAGAGTATCAGTTAGTGAAGTATAGGCCTTGCGAGTGTGTATGAGATGATATGTATTAACTATATTATCAATATAGGCATTCTGACATGGTCAGAGCTTCAAGTTGAGATGATTGTGTATTATTCACATGTTGAGAAATCATTTCAAATCTCTTATCTGTCAGATCTTATAGGCATTTTTAAGATCTTTGATTAGTTGATCTCTTTCTTTTGAATCTTCTCATTATGATAGAATGATGATATCATTTACATAGAAGAAGATGATTAATTGATCATTAGAGAAGAGACATCAATTCTCTGATATAGAGATAAAGCCTAGTATTCTCAATATTGAAGATAGTTCATTTAATCAAAGAAGAAATGATCTGTATAATTTATATAGTACTTATAGAAGTTTTAGTACATGATTTGTATACTTCAAATTTTGTATCCTCTTCAACTTTCATCATTCATCAGGTAGTTTCATATATACTAGCTCATTGATATTACTATTAATGAAGACATTAATTTTATCTAGCTGTTTCACATCTAGATTGAATACTGCTGTTAGAGCTAACAAGATTCAGAGATCTCTGACAGCTAGTGTGTAGGCTTTTATAGTGAGATCTGTGATTGATTGAAGATCTCTGTGTATGCAGATATAAGCTTTGTATTTCAAAAGAAAACCTTCATCATTGAATTTGTAGATGAATATTTATCATAGAGAAATTACTGAAATGTCTCTCTGTGATCTACTAGTAATTTCATATGTATTCTACAGAGATATACTATTCTATTCCTGCTTAACAGTGTTCTCAAATTCCTTGTGATATGAGTGTTTTTCAATATCTGCTCTGTGATTTGAAGAATCTGACAGTTGAGATCTATGAATTCTTGAAGTTGATATGAATGCTGTTGATGTAGCTGTATTGTTGATAACTGTGAAAACAGTATTTGAAATTAAATTTTGAGACTTGTAGAAGTCTGAATGTGATTGAGAGAATGTCTCATTGATCCTTTGAAATGAATTGTTTTTGATATTTGTAACTGTTACAAGATAAGCAGCTCTACATTTTCAGGTTCTGCAGTCATCAATGATATTTACTTCATCAAAGTCAGTACTAATATCATGAGCTCTAGATGCAATGTTTCATGTTCAATTATCTATCACAGCTGAATAAGTATTAATATGAACATCAGAACCTGTTGACTCTAGTATTGAATCTGATGTAGAAAGAATCAATATGTTATAATAATTATACTCATTATTCTTCTTCTCTATTTTTTCAGAGCTTTGAGCATTTTCTTTAGAGTAGAAAACATTAATATCTGCATCTATAATCTCTTTCAATTGATTGATAGAAGTCATTGATGATTCTCAAACTTTCATATATAGAAGCTTCATCTTCTTAGATACTCAATCTCTTAGTTGTCTTTCAATGTAGAGATCTTCAGAGTTGAATTTTCTATTCTTATCAAACATCACATCTCTTACTCTTATCACTCATTCTAAGTGTGAAATCCAGATTCAATAGATGTTTGTAGAATCATATTCAACTAGATATTTAATATATGCTCAAGAATCTAGCTTCTAAGAGTGATTTCTATTAAGAACTTCATTCAGTATCTTTGCATAGATGTGACATCTGTAGATTCAAAGATAACTGCAGAAGTGAGATTTGATTTGTAGAAATTCTTTCAATACTTATAGAGATGACTTTCAATCTAGAATTTTAGTAGAGGTTTGATTTGCAAGGTAGATAACAGTAAGTGTGATCTCAGAGAAAAGTAATTATGACAGAAGAGATTCTATCTGTAGAGTTCTTGTCTTTATTATTAATATTACTTCTACTCACTCTGCTGCATCATTTTACTCATGAATATACTCTGTAGAATACTTCATCTCTAGATCTTCATTATTTATTCAATTTGTGAAGTCATCTGCTTTCTTGACTGCAGTATCATTATTGATATGAATGATCTTTGTAGTACAGTTGAATTGATGTTTAATTTAATTAATAGCTTATCTAAGAGCTTTTCAGATTTCTGATTTTCAGATAGCTGTTATAGCTATATGAAAATGGAGATAATTACATATAAAATGTATGAGATAACACTCATCATTATAGTACTGTGTAGGGCCATATATAATATCAGTGTATAGATGTTTGAATGATATTTAAGATCTAATGTGAAGACATCTAGATATTTGATTTTTTGCATTAGATAGATAACAGAATTCACAAAGCTCAGTGATAAGCTCATCTGCAGTGTTTTCTAAATTGATGATTTAAATACCAGTTATATTATTTGTAAGCTTTTAAATAATGATTTTTAATGAATGTTCTAATCTCTTATATCATGTAGACTAAGTAGCTATAGAGATCTTAGATTTTTGAGAAGGTTTTATATATATTGATAGGTTGAAAGTATGATTTGTTAAAGTATGTAATGACAGATTAGAAGAAGAATTTATAGAAGTTAAAGAATTTAAAGATATCATTTTTTCAGATATAATGATGTTAGAAGTGTGTGATGTGATAGCTGCAGTGACTTTGATAGTGAATTTTTTCAAGATAGTTGAGAAAACTGCTATTTCACTATATTCTGTAACTAGCAATCTCTCAAATACTTCAATATATATAAAGATTGTATTATCTGTGTGTTTTCACAATCTGAAGTCTTTTTCATCATAATAGATGCCTTCTATATGAAAACACGGTTTCCATGTGATGATATTTGTATGAAAATTCGGGATGTAAGTGGTGTTGATGAGGTTGATATTGAACTGCTTATCTGCTTCATTTATCATGATTATTCTAACAGTTTCATAACCTTCAACTTTAGTGCTGGAATTGTCTGTATAGACTTCCGCGTTCTCATTCGCAGGTGTAAAGAATAGGAAATGTGTTTGATTATTGCATATATGCTGTTTCATGCCAGTATCAAAGATTCAGAAGTTTCAGAGATAGAAGTGAGAATTTGAAAAGTTCATCAATATTTTTCAGATCTGCTAATTGATAGATTGATGATTAATAGATTGAGAATCTGATTACTTCAGAATTATTTCTTCTAGAACTGCTTCATCTATCATATCTATATTCATGAATGAATCTCTAGATATCACTCAATCAACATGTCTCTTTAATTCTTGATTCTTAAGAGCTTGATCAATCTGAGTTCTCTTCTCCCCGTTTTCCTTTCATTCAGGTAGCTTTCTTGAGAGATTAAGATAGTAGCACTGAGTGTATCAGTAACGGGCTTCACAGATGCAGTTTTCAAATGTTGCTAATAATGAGATATTTTGCTGAGATCTTTCATTAAGAGTAGCAAAGTTCATAGATTTATCTTCTTTGAGAATACTCATTTCTCTATATCATTTCTTGAAGTTCTTAACTAACTCTATCAAAGATATGACATCTTTATCACATCAGACATCTTTAGCCTATGCGTGTGTATAACCTGTATTAATAGCTAGATTCACATTTAAGAAGTCTTTCTTCAAGTTAAACTGTTCAGCTATATTCATCTCTTTGATATCATTTTCAATAAGTGATCAGTCATTTAATCACTTCTCTATATCTTTGTTTTTCAGTGCTTTGCAGAGATTATGATATCAGATTCTCACATTATCTTGATAGTCTGTGATTGTGAAGAAGAGATAATCTCTTAATAAATAAATACTCTTCTTCATATTATCATTCTTGCTGCATACATGTCATAGCTCTGTGACATTCACTGTTCTTCATATAATATCTTGTATCTTTGTCATACCTTCATTCAATTTCTCATATTTCATATATTTGATTTTTCATGCAGTGATCTTGATATTATATGCTATCTTGACCTCTGCAGTGGCTTCTTCTGAACACTCAGGTTTCAGAGGTTCTTCTTGTGCAGAGAAGATATCAGGTTTATCAAGAATAATAAAGTCTGATACCTTCTTGTTCTTTGCATATTCTAGCATATGCTTGTACCAAAATTTCCAATCTTCAGAAACACTAAGGTGAACTGTCACACTAGACATTGTCTTGTCTGTTATATCGGTTATATTGAATGAATTGAGAAATTAATTCAAGTATTTGAGAATAGATATGATCAGAATTCAGAGTGTATAATAATTGAGTATTTCGGAATGTATACAAGTGATTAGTATTATTATTATTATTCTTTCATTATACTCATATGCAAGCGGAGCTTATGATGAGTCCTTGTGTGATGTTAAATACAGACCAAGTGTTGATTATACAGAAGAAAATACAGGTGTTAAGATCACATCAAGATAATAAGAACATAGAAAATACAAAGGAGTGACAATTAAATACATGTGATAATAACTTTCCATCTCAGAAACATAGAGCAATTTTGTTGGAGCAATTTGTACATCTCTGTATTTATTAGAAACCTGAGATGCTTGAGTTCCGGATTTAATGTATCCCCTGCGGGTTTCAAACTCACACATCTTGATTTCCCACGCCAAGGCGCTACCAGGTGGCCGCATTAACCATTCAGCCACTGGGGCATACAAGTGAGAATCTATTGTCTCAGTTCAAATGATAGTTATCAGTTTGAATGAGAATTGGAATTGGTGATCAATCGTCTCAGTGTGATTCAAAGGTTGCTTGGGCCAGCGTACGATTACAGGCGTACGCCGGCTTCTTATATATCATACGCTAAATTAATTAGTGGCCGCTATGGCCCCTTTACATTTGTAAGCAAGTTCAGAAGTGGCTGTGTTATTATCTGACAGTCATACATTCTTTCAAACCACATTCTCTCTCACCAGATTCAGTCATGTTCACATGATCATGATGTCCGCCCTAGCTTCATACAGATTCCTGTGTCACTAGTATTTGTAATCATGTGACCTATCTCTGATTCAGCTAGCATTTCATGTACACTCTTATAAAGAAACTTTCACTATATTATATCACTTATTCACTAACTTTTCTCATTCTTCAATTATCTTCTTCATCATTGTCATTATCAAATGTTACTATCTCATTCAAGATTCTTACTTCTTCTTCTATTTAACTCTTTCTATCTGTTTATCTATCATATTATACACATTTCTGACAATGACTCTTTATTCTTATAATAAGTGTTCTTATAGTACTTATACTGAGCAGTTCATTAGCAGTAAGTGTAATGCATTATGAAATATAACCAGAACTTGTTTATCTTCTAACAATCATTAGAATATACTATCATGAATGACATATCTTCTTTATCTTCTTATACATCTCTGACTCTCTTTTCTTCAGTGATATCTGATTATGTTTTTCTGATTATATTATGTGACTGCAGATACTGATGTTTTAATTCATATAGAGTCTTCATATATTGACAGATTCACATCTGTCAATGATTGTGATTTCAATGTTGAATCATTAATTGAGAACTTGAAGAATGTGATAATAAAGAAATTATCTATGTTATATATAACTGAGTCTTCTACATCTCTCTCTGTTTTCTCTGTTTCTTTCTCTGTTACTCTCTCTTAATCTTCTACATCTGCTTCTATGTCTGATTCTCTCACTTCTACTATCTCTATTTCTGTGATCTCTACTCTCACTACTTCTGCTTCTTCTGATTCTACTGTCTCTGCTTTTATTATCAGCTCTTCTCATTTCAAGAAGATGTTATGTAAACTTAATAATTCATGTTTCTCAGTATGTATACTCTCACTCTTCTTACTGACTTCTAGAATAATTTATTGTATAAAGACTGTGTACAACACAACTATCTGAAGCTCAGTCACAGACACTGATTATTATATTTATTTTAAATATTCATAATAAGATAATTATTTATTTATATCAGAGAATCACTCTCTCTCTTAACAGTATTGAGATTGTAAGTCTTTTTCTTTTCATCTTTTCTTTCTAACACTGATTTTTCTATTCTTAGAGAAAATCATTATAGATTTTATTATGCATAAAGTCATAATATTTATAGATATTAAGAAACTTTTTACAACTGTAAAGTTCAATATTGCAGAGACATCTACTTTGATGAATTTCTTTAAAATAATAGATCTATATCAGTCTATTCTCTGATATCTATTATCTGACTTCATAATACAGACAAAAGATATCTGTGTTTTTAGAAACAGAAATATGAATATCATACTCTTTTATATTCACAGATATGAGACTTGTATATCTTATCTGAAATGTTATTATGAGAATGAGCTGTTCACACACTGTGTTCTACTTTCTATATTTCTCTGTGTTTCTCTCTCTCTTTCTAAGAAGTCTCATACATGTTGTAATTACATATACAACTCTAAGATCAGTGAGTATTCATTCAGTAACTATTCTCATCTCTGATTTTATGATTTTTATATGCTAATAATAATTCTTAGTTACTTCAGTGTCAGAGATTATTCTAATCAAAGATAATAATACTGCTGAGACTACTCTCTTCTACTCTTAAGCTTTTTCTATCACTTTCTCTTCCTCTTCTGCAGAGAAGATTATGTATATATCAGATTATAAGTATTCAGCTCTGAGTGACTTCTGCTATTATTTATCTAATTCTATATCTTCTTCTTCTTCTGTTTCTTTCATCTCTATTCTTTCTATTCTGACTTCTGATTCTGCAGATTTCATACTCTTCTTCAATTTTTCTACATGTACACATACACATTTCTATATTGATATTTCAGTCAATCTTGTAATAAATGACATTAATATCATACACAGAGTGATAGAGAAATCAGAAATATGTATAATATTATTATAAGAGCAGCTTGCAGCTCTTGAATTTCTTACAGATCTCAAGTTTTAAGATTTTCTTTATTTTTGACATTTTTCAGATGATGTGATGTTGAAAATAGATTAATATGTAATGTATAAAAATGAATAAGATATGTATGATAACATTTGTCTTTTACAGCTGACTCTTACAGTTGATAATTAATTCATTATCTCTTTTCTTTTCTTACACTTTTTCTTTATCTGCTAGTCACTACTCTTATATAATCTCTATATGATATAGCATTTAATAACTAGGTTCAGCAGCTTTCATCTTTTGTAATTCTGTCTTATATATTATACTATCTCTCTTCACCTGCTCAGATCACTACAGTGAATGACTTATTAAAACTAATCTCATCTGATCTCTGAGTATTTTCAGAGATTAAGTTGACTTGATTTTATATATTCACAGATATTTCAGATGCTTCATTCTCTGTTATCTCTGTGATTAAACTGATGTAAACAGTTGAATTTAACTCTGAATTTCTTTTTCTTCTGTGATCTGATTCATATGCAAGTCTGCTACTTTGAGACTGCTCTTTGTCATGTTACATTCACTATCTACAGTGTATTATTATATGACTGACTACAGTCTCATTACTTATTAAAGTGTGATATTTATCTGATTTCTTCATTTCTTCTCATTCTTTTCTTATAATTGTAAAAAGATTGAAATAAGTGAGATCATCTGATTCATAAGTATCTATGATTTCTCTTACTTTGTGAGACTTTTCAATTATAAGTCTCTTCTTTTTCAACACTGATAATAGTACTATAAATAATTATAATTCA